TGCTTCACAGCTTTTTAATCAAGCAACACAAACACTCTTGCTTCACAGCTTTGAGTGATACACAAACCTAACTTGACTTTGCTTCACAACTTTAGTCAAGAGACATACAAACACTCTTGCTTCAAAGCTTTGAGTGTTACACAACCCTTACAATTAAAACCTATTCCAAGTCACTTATCACAATGATAATTGCTTGGATTACAATAGTAAAAACTATACAGCTTCTAAATGATCTTCTATCAAAAAGGGATTACATTCAAAGCAGCAGCCCTGTTGAATATATAGCAGCTGCATCTTCAGTTAGGGTTTCCACAAAAAGCTAGGGTTAATTCTGTTTGACCTTAAGACTAGGTCACAGGACTAGATCAATCAGGATGGGGTTGAGCTAGGTTAACCCAAAGAAAACGCAGGATTCTGTTCTGGAAAGACTGAGTCATTTTCCTGAAAAAAATCAGAATTAACCAAACTGCAAAACTGTTAGTTCAGAACAGGATGTCTTAACATTTGTTATGACATCTGAGAACCTGTCTACTGATTTAGGAAAATGTGATCTTTTTGCAAAAATGCTCAGATACACACTTATAAACAGCAGCACCTGTATGACAATATTTTTCTGCAAAGGTACCTAATAAATCTATACCTAATAAACTAGAATGTTATGACATCAGTCATGACATTCATACACCTGGTTTTACCAAAAATGCATGCCAATACCTAAACAACTACACTTCTCATCTAATCAAGCTTTTAGATGTGTTGTGTATAATTCAATTGCTCTAATATATAGTACGCTAAGACGAGTTTTGAAAGAATATTTAGAAAATGCATTTTATATCAATATCGTATTTGAGATTTTATCTTGGTCTGATAATTGGATACGTGCTTGAAGCCTAGTGGGCTGATTATCAATTGATAAATTAATTTTCCCAATATTAAGGGGACAGAATAAGCCGCTTAAAGTGTGAACCCCATAAATTAAAATGAACAATTTGAAATAAAATATTATTATATTATTTTGATCCTTGAAGTTCAAATTACAATTCATTTGCAAATTCTATTAAACAATTATCAACTATTAATACTCCACTCAAAGGGGATTTTCCTATTGAATAATCTAATATTTCAAATGAGTTGTAGTTACGCCTGAAGCGTGGTAGGAAAGTCAGTTTCAATGTTAAAAGTCCTCTACCAAGAAAATAAACTAAAGTTAAAGATGAATATGAAAATTTTAAGAGAATATTGATATAATTTATTTTTCAATTCCAAAAGAACTAATCAAGTACTTGAAATATAAAATAAAGAGATCTCGATAAATTATGTCATGAATAATATGCGATGGAACCGAAATTGAGATAACCAAAATAAAGTCAATATTGACAATGTCTTTGTATATAATATAGCGCTAAAAGTGATCAATGATAACGGGGATCATGAGTCAAATTCCATTAAAGATTGTAGACAAAGTTAGAATTGGCCAAAACGAATATATTCAATGAAAAAGAATTAAACTTACTTTACAAATGAATCGGTTTTGGACCTGTAGTCCGAACACCTCAAAGTGTGAAACTAATGAGATATAAATGAGTTTTGTGAAAAAACAAAATAAGAATGATATAAAGCTTGATTTGCTGCTCAATGATTTTCACAAAGACCTCAGATTTATTTTGGTGAAACATATTCACATATACTGGATGCAATTTAATTTTTTATATTTAATTATCTTTGTAGCACAAGAAAGACTTAATTTGAACATGGTGGATATGGTAACAACTTGTTAGCATGACTCACTTGATAGAGACATTTAGAAACTCCCTAAAGGGATTAATATATCAAATATATATAATTTTGAATCTCGAGAAAGTTAGTCCATCAAATTGAACAAGTATCTCTATGGGTTAAAACAACATGGACACATGTGGTATAATTGTCTCAATGAATATTTGTTAAATGACAGATATACAAACAAGTCCATATGTTCTTGTATTTTTATGTAAAGATCTAGAAAATAATTTTATATAATAGTTGTCTACGTGGATGACATAAAATTATTGGAATTTCTGAAGAGATTCCAAAAGCTATAAATCTCTTAAAGAAATAATTTGAGATAAAGTACATAGAAAAGACAAAGTTATGTCTAAATTTATAAATTAAGCATTTGGACAATAGAAAAGACAAAGGTGTTTAAATGTTCGTATATGTATAAATTTTGGTATGTCGTGTACTCCGATAATGTTAAATTATTCGATGTGTAGAAGATTCTATTAGACCTCGAGAAGAGGATACAAACTAATTGGTCTTGAATTACCATATCTCAGTGTCATTCAAGCACTGATCTATCTTTATAATTATACATACCACAATATATCAATTTCTATTAATCTATTAGCCCGATACAATTCTTCACCTACACGAAGACATTGGAACATAGTCAAACATATACTTCGTTACGTTGGAGGTTTAATAGACATTGGTTTTATACCAAAGTATCCAAATTCAAATTAACAGGTTATGCAGATGCAAGTTACTTGTCAGATCCTCACAATGGTAGATCACAAACTGGTTATTTGCTTACATGTGGTGGTACAACTATTTCATAGAGATCGATGAAACAAACAATACCAACAACTTCATCTAATCGTGTAAAACTTTCAGCACTACATGAGACAAGTTGAGAATGCATTTGGTTGAGATCCTTAATTCAACACATACAAAATACTTATGGTTTGCCTTCTAGAAAACAAATACAACGACCATATATGAAGATAATACTGCATGCATCACTCAATTCAAAGATGTTTACATTAAAGGAGTCCGGACAAAACACATATCTCCAAAGTTCTTTTTCACTCGTGATCTTCAGAAGAATGGTGATATAAACATCCAACAAATCCGTTCATGTGATAATCTTGCAGATCTTTTCACAAAGTCACTCCCAAGTAGAACTTTTAATCAACTAGTACAAAATTTTAGTCTTCACCGTCGAAGAAATGATCGTTCAACTGAGAGGGAGAAATGAATTTATTTTAAAAGGATATTATACTCTTTTTTCTTCACTAGATTTTTGTCCACTGAGTTTTTTCTAGTAAGATTTTGACGAGGCATATCTAAAACAAACATTCGAGGGAAATGTTATGAATAATTGGATGATTGTCTCCTAATGATTTTACTCCTTATTTATAACACTTTATATTTATTACATTGTCTGTATGTTGTCTTATAAATAAGGGCAATCTCATTGTAGAAAGACACACCATTGAAATAATACATAATTATTTTCATCTTTCTCTCTTCTTTTTTATCTTCTTTCTCCTAATTTTATAACAAGTAAAAATATATAAATATATATTGTGCTGATATGGAGCGGGGTGAATACTAAGGTACTCGTATCCGCGCTCATACCCACTTATTTTCGCGGGTAATTACTCATGCCAAACCTCATACCCGTTTTGCGGGTTTGTACCCTACTCATTATAGGTGATTTTTAGGGTACCCACCGGAGATGGGTACAATTTCCATCCTTACATAAAATAGAATTTATTTTTTCAAAAATGATTTTTATAATTTTATATATTTTTGTAAAAAAAATTACAAATTACCATTTAAAAAAGTTTCAAATGAAAAATAATTCAAATATTTTTTTTAAAATTTTATCTTAAACATTTCATTTTTTTAGTATAACTTTTTTAGATATCAGAATTTTAAAAAATAATTTAATTTAAATATTTTTTTTATAAAAATCATTTTGAGATAAATATTTTTAAAAATTATGTGATTTTTTATCTGGTTTTAAACTTTAATAATATATATTTATATTATTAGATGTTAAAATTAATCTTTTAATTTATAAAAAGTTGAAATAAAAAACTTATAATATTTAAAAAATTATATAAAAATTATTTTTAAAATACAAAAAAAAATCTTTTTTAAACTAAAATGAAGGGCCCTATAACCTAAAGTCTAAAGTAAAATTAAAATTATGTTAATTTTATACGTAAATTGAATATCAAATTTCGGCTGCATATTAATTGACTGAAATAATTTAAATATATTATTAGTTAATATTCAATAAACTATTAATGAATAAAACAAAGTGTTATAACTCATTTAATATTTATTTAGTTTAGTTAATTATGTATTTTCTAAAATGTATAATAAGGGTATTGTTGTATTTAAAGGGGTGTATGTGATGTTTAAAATTGTTAATGGTGCTTAGAGCTTGCTCACACAGAATGATGAAAAAATTTGTAAATGTAGTTTCTAGCTGAATAATTGATCTCCATTTCTCAACTCTAGAGCTGGAGTATTTATCGAGACCTATTGGGTCTGGATTCTTGGGCTCGAGAATAATTATTCTTCCACCTTCTTTAAGAGTGTGGGATAAATGAGAATCATTTTCTCCTATAATTATCGGGGACATGGTTTTCCTTCTTGACTGACTCGTATATTAAGTTGGTATAGATGCCCACGTCATCCCCACGTTCTTTGAAAAGGTTGACTGTGAAAACCGTTGGATAGTCCAAAATTGATTTGAATGACTTATAATAAATCACGAGCGACTTAGGTGTGACACTAGTGCTTGCCCGACATTCCTTAAGGCAATGTCACCATGGTACTCACCCATCATTAGTGGGCTTAACATTGTTTCCTATGGCCTTTTCTTTTAGGCCTGACAATTTTATCCTAGTACACAGTCTCTCAAGCACGATGTGTTGCAAACAGTGAAGTGATTTAGTTTGAGTGTTTACGTTGAGTTCTTTAGGCAAGACTTCCAGTTGAGTCCCTCATGCGAGACTTTAAGTTGAGTCCCTCAAGCGAGACTTTCAGTTGAGTCCCTTAGCTGAGATTTTAAGCAGAGTCCTTCATACGATACTTTAAGTTGAGTCTCTCAATAGAGACTTTCATTTATGTCGCTCATGCGAGATTGTAACTTGTGTCCTTCCGACGAAACTTTAAGTTGAATCCTCAAGCGAGATTTTAATTTGAGTCCCTCTGATGGGGCTTTAATTTGTGCCATTGGTTCCTCTTCCTATTAAAGGATTCATGTCATAGTGCACTTTAGGATATGTCAAGAAGGCCAATAATGAGTGATTTGTCAAAGCTCGAGAATTTGTTAGTACTAATCTAACATATATGTTGCCTCTTGGGCTGTAAGGATTCTTGAGAGAAGATACAAAATTTATATTGTCTCTTAGACGACAAAGATTCTTCAGAAAAGATCCAACATTTATATTGTTTCTTGAACGACAAAGATTCTTCAAAGAAGATCTAACATTTGTATTACCTCTTGGGTGGCGAGGATTATTTAGAGAAGATCCAACATTTATATCACCTCTTGAGCGAGAAAGATTTTTCATAGTAGATCCATCACATACATTGCCTCTTAGGTGGCAAGGATTCTTCAGAGAAGACCCAATGTCTATATTTCCTAATGGGTAGCAAGGTTTATTCAAAGATGATCCAGTGTTTATATTGTCTCTTGGAAGACAAGGATTGTTTAGAGAAGATCCAATGTTTATATTGCCTCTTTGGGAGAAAAGAATTCTTTATATAAGATCTAACATTTATATTACTTCTTGGATGGAAAAGATTCTTCATAAAAGATCCAACATTTATATTGCCTCTTGGGAGACAGGGATTCTTCAAAGAATATCCCACATGTATATCATGCATTAATTACAACGAGAGGCTCCACTTTGAAGGTTCACTATTTCTTGAAAAAGATGATGATTAAACATTTTCAAAAGAGTTTATAGACGACAAACAAAATGTATCTTACTTTACTGAATAAAAATGTAAATGACTAACTATAATAATATCACAGGTTAATTGAATTACATGTTATAGGGATGAGTCTTTCATCCAGCTCTTTGAGTTTGTAAGCTTCATGAGATAACTTTTGACATGCGCGATATAGACCTTCCCATTCAGGTTGTAGTTTCCACAGGCGAGTTGTTACACCAACTTGCATGAGCACATGGTCGCCTTCTGAAATTTCCCTGGGAGCACTTTGTAGTGGTAACTCATGCATCCCTTTGATTGGCGGAGGATTCTCTAATATGGGAGAAATCACAGGTTTCATCGATTAGTCACGTTGCACATTTAAGCTACCTCATTTTCCTATTCATTGGAATGAGAGCGTCTCCATACTGGCATATCAATTTTTACAGACAACATAACATCAACACCGTATACCATTATGAATGGAGTTTCTTTAATTGTTAAATGGTGGGTGGTTTGATACGACCATAGCACTTTGTGGAGTTGTTCGGTCCAAAAACTATGGCTTCATCCAACTTTTTCTTTATTCCACCCAATATTACTTTATTTGTCAACTCGACCTTCCCGTTTGCATGTGGGTGGACAATTAAAATGAACTTCGTTTACACTCATAGATCTTAACAAAAATCGACCATAATGGAGCTGACAAATTGAACACCATTGTCTGAGATAATAACCCTTGAAGAAAACATACACATAATCTACTGCCAATAGAAGCGGAAAACCCCTGAGAAATTTGTGTGCAAGTGCTTGTCTACCAATGTGATTAGTGCATGTTCCTTGCTAGATCTCTGGTAAGACTAAGGAAATTTCGTTTTCCCTTAGACACCTCAACACATGGGCAACCTTTTCCACCTTATAAAGTGTTGGAACATGTCCATGTTCCAATATATTGAATTTAAAAATTTCTCAAGTCCCACGTTGTTAGAATATCTTTTTGGTTGAAAAAACCATTTAGTCCCACATTGCTCATGTGAGAAATATTAACTATATTACTTCACTGTATAAGGAGTGCACATGTTTCATTCTAAATCACACCAAAAACTATTCTATTAGTTTTTCCTCCCTCACTCTCATAATTTTGCGTATCTCGAATTGTCAAAACGACATCTTCTTCCCATTTCTTCCTACTCGTTGAATTTTCCGAGTATTTTCTTGAATTCTCTTTAGAGAATTATGTTAATTTCTCCTCATTTGAATTGAGGAATTTTCAAGTTTAATCTTTTGAATTCTCTTTGGAGAATTATTTGAATTTCTCTTTGTTGGAGAAATTATTATGAGTGGTCAAATGACCATTATTAATTTCTCTTTGGAGAATTATTTGAGTTTCTTTTTGTTTAAGAAATTATTATGACTGGTCTTTGTACCAGTTACTACGAGTGATGTTGATACCATATTTGAATGGTCTTGTACCATCAGGGTGTATTTTTAGACCGATTATCTATCATGCAAGTAGTAATCGTACAGTATAGAACTGAGTTGTTTTATCTTGGAGGCGGCGCGGTAGTTCGGCTGCTTTGCATAATTTTGAGCAGTGTCGCGAGACGTCTTAAAGAGAGCGATCTAGTCCGCGACTCAACCTGATAATTTTTTCGGTGGCAAATATTTTAAAATCTGAAAACAACATAAAGTTTCTCAAACATCATGGTAGACTTCTAGAATATTGATTTCCTCCGCCTCAATACTAGAGGCGATGCGAGTTTTTTGAATTACAATCCAGTTATGGATTGCTCTTTTTATGGTGGAGAACTTGGAAAGATAGTCATCCCTAGTGTTATGCTCCCGGGGCACATATATTATCTCAAAAGATTTAAAATATTAAGATAATTCACGTACCTTTTTCAGATATCTGATAAGACGGGGCTTCTTTATCATATATTCCTTGGCGACCTGATTCACCACCAACTATGAGTCGCTTATGGATTTAAGGCTTGAAGCGCCCATCTCAAGGGTTAGTATCATGCCGATAGAAGGCTTCATACTCGACTTGGTTGCTATTGGCCAAACTTCGAGGATCGCTAGATAAAGAGGTCATTTGGTCCATCTAGTACTATTTCGACGCCAATTCCTTTCGGGGTTTGAGGCACTATTCGTAAATAGGATTCATACGTAAGGAGTCTCATTTCCTATCGGCGAACTAAATTCTAAAAGAAAATCAACTATCTAATGCGACTTGACACTCCTTCTAAGTATATATTGGATATCACACTCAAATAAATCAATTGACAAGAATACCATTCATTCTGTAAGATTTGCCTTCTTCAGAACCTGACGAATGGGGTAGTTGGTTTTCATCATGGCACGGTGTCCTTGAAATTTGTGTCTTAGCTTCCTCGTAGTTATCATGACCCCTAAGGTGAACCTTTCAATCAAAACATTGGCAAAGAAAACCCGAGGTTGTTGTTGAACTCTATGCGATTCAGGCGAACCACCGGCGACCTCCCGACGCGACTCCAGATTGCCGACGAATAACACACCATCAGAATCAACACAAATCCGATCTAAGCCTTCATCACTCTGATCAACGACTCAACAAGCCAACCAAAACGGCCATTCCGGTCGCGAAACAGCGACCACGCGTGACAGGACTCCGCTGAAGCTTTGATCGGCGATGCCTCGATCCCGACCGATCCCTTCAACTGCAGTCAGCAACACCTTCATCAACCGCGTAGCCACCTTCGACCGACTCTTCCAACTCCCGCCGCAAATAGATCTGCACCGGATAACCCTCTGCCACCCACAACCGTCTCTGCGTCGAAACTACAGGTCGGTACCGTCCTTCATGTTTGGTTCTTGAAATATTGGGTTTTGGTGTTGTATTGTGAAGAGAAGAAAAATAAGAGAAAGATAACCATAGAGAGAGATATTGATAAAGCCAAAACAAAGAGGAAAAATTGAGATATGAAATGTCCCTTCTCTCTCTCTTTGTAAATGCAATGTTTTTTACTTTTTATAAATATGCCATGTGTCAATATTTATTGGAAATTATTTTACTTTTGAAAAAATATACATTTTAGTAACGTGTCTTAAGATCTAAAAATATAGTTAATTTTTTTGTTTTGTTTTTATTGTTATAATTGTTTTAAGTTAGCAATAGTAATAGAAAAACTTGGTTTTGTTGTAACAGCAAGTGCGGACCATCTCAACTTTCTTTTATTTTCATTTTCTTTTATTTTCATTTTTTTACTGTAGAATCTTAAGTGGGCTCTGGGCCATGTTTAGATTATTAAGTTATACACTCTTTGTTTTCTCTTAAGTGATAAATGAAACACAAGAATATATTTTTAGTTTTAGAATAACTCATAATTGGTGCATAACTAATTAATCATAAGAGAATACATAGACATACGATTTAAAAATCGTAGCGAGTTCTCTAATTAAAAAACTAAAATTAAATTTTTAACATAAATCCTAGTATCCTTGTGAGCAAGGTAGATGAAGGAGGCCTAACACATGTCATTCGTCTAAAGCAAGTCAAGAATTTAGAATCTCTAAATCGATTTAGGGTTATTTCGTTATTCACTTACCCTTAGGATAAAAATTAACGGTGGCGACTCTTCTTATTTTTTGTCGGTTATTACAAAAAGGAATAGCACAATAGTTTAATATTATACACTTCTAGCTAACTTGTCTCTTCAGTTTCCATTTTTCTACTGAAAAAAGAAACAAGACGAAATAACTCTAACCTTTAGTACTGCAAAACGATACACAATTTCAACCCTAACACCATTTTTCACTGTTTATCATTTTTTATTCAATACTTTGATACTTTAATACTATCACTCTTTTACTGGTCCTTTTCGTCGAGGAGGTTGACAACACGAACATGGTCGTCATCGTCAAGGAGGAAGACAACACAAACACCGCCATTATTTTCGAGAAGGAAGACAACACCAACATCATCATCATCAGGAAGGAAGACAACACCAACACCAACACAATATTCTCTTTTACTTAGTCATCACATTTACGGTACATAAAATTCCCCATGCATCTATAGTAACTTCCATTACCATTGTTGTGAATGTTGTTGTTGTTGATAAAAAAGGTTGTTGTTTATGTTCTTGATGTTGTTGTTGTTGTTTATGTTCTTGATGTTGTTGTTGTTTTTGTTGTTTATGTTGTTTATTTTGTTGTTGTTTTTGAACATAGATGTCGATATTGTCGAATTCTTAATCTACTAGCAAAGAGACTAATCATACAAATGATTCTTGTATAAATAATATTTGTACAAATGATACTCAAACCAAAAAAATTACAAAGAGGTGTCACAATGATGCCCCAATTCACAAAACTCCATAACTCAGGCGACAAAAAGCTGATCTCGTTTGATTCGTTCTACAGAGTAGTTGATTGTGAATACTACTATACTTTTAAGAGTTATATTGCGTTCCTTACATGTAGCAAAGTCAATATATTGACCGATGATTGGAAACAAGCGCCAAGTGCTATCAAAGATAACATATGGGCAAACGTTAAGGTAATAATTTTAGCTAGCTTATAATACATGCTTATTAATTTAAATGTAGTTGAATTTTGAGTTTACCGATGACTCAAAGTTGAAAAAAATTGGATCACTTATGATGATACTTTTTGGAGGAGCTTTATGTCACGACTCATGATAGACTACATTAGGAAGCCTAAGCCTGGTCTTGCTTGTCCATGGAAAAGATATAATTTTATATCGAAGAAGCAATGGAAAACGTTTGCGAATGACCGTCGTTCTGAGAAATTCAAGGTTAGTAGTAGTCATATTTTTCTGATAATTTTATGATAATGACTAATAGATGCTAATCATATATATTGTTCACTATGTGAATAACAGGCTAAAAAATCATAATAGGAATACAAAACAAGGCAAAAAACATGTTCCCTCATAGATTGTCTCGTAGAGGTTACAGTAAACTTGAGAAAACAACCATGCTTGAAAAAACCAAGAAACAGAAGATAATCGCATTCCATCTCCATCGTTAAGACATGAGAAGTGGAAGAGGGCTCGACTAAGACCGAATGGAGAGTACACCTCAGATGCGTCAAGAGTAGTTGTTGAGAAAATTGTAAGTATGGTTTTTTTTTATTATATTATTTGTTATTTAAATGATTTTGTAACAATATATGTAAGTTGCTCATTTTGTGAAGGATAAGTTGGTTGAGGCAGCCCGTGAAGGCACATTTGTTCCAGAACTACGACATGATATACTAGTAGAAGCTATCAAAATAAATGAGCATGGTGGGCGTGTTCGTGGTGTTGGAGAGGGTGTCAACCCGAGTTTATACTTTAGTTCTGCAAGAAAAATCACCAAAAGTGTGGAATTTCAAGCACAAAGAGAAAAGATTGAGAATTTTGAGAAGTAGTTAGATGCGCAAAGGAGAGTGTTAGAAGAGTAGAAGGAAAGATGGAAGAAAGATATGAAAATTTTAGAAAAGTTAGAAGAGTTATATATAATATGTGCTTTATTTGAGATGCTAGTGCTTTATCAAAAATGTATGATATACGTTGTGCTTATTTTATCTTATGTTCTAATTGAATATTATGATGTAGAGAATAAGTGTAAACATCAAACAACGTACAAATAATGAAGATCAAAATAATGTTGATGGTCATGATGATAATTTTCCAAGTAGAAGTATTATACGTGCTAGCACCAAAGTAAGTAATTGTTCAGCCTCTCCCCCTCCAGAAAACCGCAATGACTTAATGGATCCTACCACAAATAAGATCACCATGTTGTACTTGATCGTTGTAGAGATGAATGAAACACAACCTCTGTAGCTAGAACATTATCCATTGATAGAGTTCTTCTATTATAATCCTGACAATGCAAGGGATTTTCTTGTTAGATATAAGTGGTTGTAGGGATATTACAAGTTTGGTGCACGTAAGTATATAATTAATATACATATCATTATAGAACATTGTTATTTTTTGTATTTCCTCCATTAATTTTTTAATTATCTTTAACCATTTAAGTACATTTACCATATTTGTATAGAGTTAAATAAATCGATTACTTATGGAATCTTGGATCCATTTTGGATTCGATGGGCATATAATGATCTAAAAGCCATTGAAGAGTACATGAAAAGGCGGTTAAATGAGGGAGGAAAAAAATGTTACTTAACACCATTTCTCAATGAGTAAGTAATATTGTAATTGATGTTTATCTCTTGTATATATTTAGTTTTATTTTAACAGTGTTTATTTAGTGGTCATTGCTAATTGATCATCATATCATTTAGGACGAATACGATAACTATGCTGTGCTCCTTACATTATAAATTCGAAAGGAAAATGAAATATATTATTAATTGGTAAGTGTATCTTTATACTTTGACTTTAAATTAATAATTTCTTTGACATTGTAATTAGTTTATCACATAATATGTTTAATTCATTTTCAATGTACAATGTTGTGCGACAAGTGAATATTATGCACAATGTTAGAAGAAAGTCCTCATGGCTCTTGCCTAAGGTAAATGACCCGATTACCTGTTTCTTTCACTTATATTTATATGTGGTTATATTCATGTAATTATTGCTTAAATTTGTAGACAAGAAAACAACCAGGGGGTTACGAGTGTGGGTATTATGTCATAAAACACATGTTAAATATTATCCTTGTCGGCATTGTTGATTCATGGGATAAGGTATATTTGTCATAAAATATATACATATATTATATATAAGTTGACTGTTCAATTATAATAATGCATGATATTCACTTTTTTGCTCTTTTTTGCGAGGTCAATCAACATTCACTTCACGTCCTAATTGTTATATTGCACCGTGTTGACCATGAGATAATTGTTATGAGAGAGGATGACAATGACACATTCGCTAGAAAAGATGATTTTAGGCTTTGGCTCATTCTTCAAGACTGTTTCAAAATCGACATGTATAATGTTTGCCGTCAAAACTTGTCTAACATACTTTCGGCGGGAAGAGCTGGATTCTCCACCGCCGAAAACTAATATTGACAACGATATATGGGATTTGTTTCATCATCCTTATGGAGAAGGTGACAAAGGTGATTGGTGAATAACAAGGAGTGTAGTCCCGGTTAGTTTTAACGGCCTTATAGTGGGTGTCATTTTTTACTTGCTAAAATATACAATAAGTGAAACCTTGTATGTGAGGGGTTGTATGTGATGTTTAGGGTCATTGAAGATGCTTAGAGCTTGCTCACGCAGAGTGATGAGAAGCTCTATAACTGTGGTTTCTAGGTGAATAATTGATTTCATTTTCTCAATCCTAGAGTTGAAGTATTTATAAAGACCCTTGAATTTGGATCCTTGGATTCAGAAACAGTTATTCTCCCACCTCCTTTTAAGAACGTGGGATAAATGAGAACCTTTTTCTCCTATAATTATGAGAGACATGGTTCTCCTTCTTGATTGACTCATATATTACGTTAGTGTAGATGGCCATGTCATACCATGTTTCTTGGAGTAGATCTCGAAAATTACATTAGATAGTCCAAACTCAATCTAAACAACTTATAATAAGTCACAAGCAACTTAGGTATGAGAGTGGTACTCTTCCAACAATGTCACCATAGTACACGTCTATCCGTAGTTGATTAACGTTATTTCCTCGATACTTTTTTAGGCCTGACAACTTTATTTCAGTATAAATTACAATTTTAAACGTTGTTAACAATTCAAATATTAAGTTAATATATATCTAAAATAAACTTAATTCATGATTTCTTTTTGCTGTTAACTAAAAAAATTCAATTTTTTTTTTTGATATTATAACTTTTACATTCCTATATATTTCTATAAAAAGAGTAATGAATCATATCAGATCGATGATGTCCATCTTCTTTTTATGTTTTTAATTTGTAATATTCTCTTCTCAATTTCTTTATATTATTTGACACTGTAAATTTTTATTCTTATTTTTGAAAAAATGAAGAATTTTTTAACTGTTTTCATTTTTAAATGTTCTTATTTTACATCATGTTTACTAAAAAAAAATTTGGTCTATAATATCTTTGAATCTTTTAACCATTTGATTTCAACTCAATAAATCTTTACTAATTATAATTATTTATTTTTAATTCAATTAAAAAAAATGAAATTTTAGTTTTAATTATTTTTTAACTTAAGATACTAAAAACATGGGTGATTATTATTGGCCGAGTTAAACTTTACCAAACTTGAGTCTGTCTTGCTAAAAATTTTAAAGTCTAACTTTGACTTATCACTTATCATAGACTTATTTTTAGACAGTTTAATCTTTTCGAAAGTTTGTTTGATCTATTAATCTACATAAAAGTCTATTTTATTTGAACATTTATGAATAAGAAACTTAACTAATATTTAAATAAACTAACAAATTAAAAAGACTAGTGAAAGAAAATACTTATTTTATTGACTTATTTAAGTTTATTTGTTAACATAAGTTATATGATACTATTTGTTTAGTAAAACTTATGAAAATAACTTATGACGATAGTATTTGTTTAGGAGAATTTATGAAAATAATTTATGACATTGCTCATAAGGTTATTTTAATTTTTTCACAAATTCTTTAAGATAACTAAATTTTATTCTTGTATTTTAATTTAAAGTACAAATAATAAAATATAATAGTAATATTGAAGTTATTCATATTTATTTAAATATGTCGGTCCGATAGGTTTAAATTTTTTTTTTATGGCCTAGGACTTAGTCTTTTTAATTAAATAGACTTATAAAAAAACCTAGACATTTTCTATTTAAAACAAAAGTCTGACCGGACCTGACCTGGGCATGTATAGACTAGTTGTAGGTCCTTGTTAGTTGGCCTGACCTATTTCTAATCCTAATTGAAAGGATTAATAATTCAAAATTTGATAAGATTAAAAAAATTGGTGAATAATGGTTAAATAAATTTTTATTTCCTCTTAAATTTCAACATTTTTATTTTAATTCCTAAAGTTCCGTTTGACGCGTAGGATAAGAGACATGATAGAATATCTGTATCACATTCTATCTCAATTTAGTGTTTGATGACACAATATAATATGATAAGTTAATCTTGAAACTTATTCTATCCTGTCTCAGTAGTTCAAATTATTATCCTGAATATGAACTGAGTTAGAATCCGATAAAATATGATAAAAAATGATTTACAAATTTACTCCTATAAAATATAATTTAAAATAAAAAATTAAATAAAAGATAAATAAAAGTTAATTTAATATTAAATTAATTTTTAAAAAATATGTATGATTATCATAAGGATAATTTTTTACCTTTATATAATATAAAAAATGAAAATCTAATAAATTGGAATGTTTTAAATAAAATAATTATTAAAATATTAAAAATATGAATACTAATTTTATTTTTTAACAAATTAAATATATTTTCTTACAATATTTATATATATATCTTTATTTTGTTTATCTAACATAAAATTCATAATATTTTTAAAGAAAAACTTAAATTATATATTCAGTAGTGTTAATAATTTTTTTTAAATTATAAAAAAATATTTATTTTTATCAATTCTATGATATCCTATATATCAAAGGGACTTTAAAATTTAATATATTCCAAATATAAGGACGCCACAAATAATTATTGGGCGACAAGGATATGAGCTTTTCTAACTTGTAACCCTAACTAAGATATTAAAAAAGAAATCGAATAAACAAACTGTTCTAGAAGCTTCTTCCAATTTTTCCCCTTTCAGTGTCTTTCACGGAGAAGAAGGAATCATCTTTTCACAAATCGAAAAATTCAATCTCTCTTTATCTTCTTATCTAAGAAAAGAACGATAAAATTCTGCAGAAATTGCAGTTGAGTATGGCAGGAAGAGAGGTTCGAGAATACACCAATCTCACCGATCCCAAAGGTACAATTCTTCTTCGTTTTTGTTTTATTTTAATGTTTATAAGATCCTTGTTGTCTAAAGTTTTGATTTTTCATGATTTTGAGTTATTGGGTATGTGTTATTTTGACAGATAAGAAATTGGGTAAAGGAAAAGATAAGATTGATGATGAAGACGTTACTTTCCAACGTATGGTTGCAAAGGTTAGCGCATTGATTCGCCTTCTGTTATTTTCTATTGTTTAGCATAATGATTTTGGTACCTATTTGCTATTGTAATTGCTTTTTCTATAGTGGAAAGAGTTTTTATAGTTATGTTGTTATTGTTTCATGTTTTGATTCTTGTATGTTTGGTGTTAGCTAATAGTGTGGAATATATTTTATGTATAGTTGAGTGATAGAAGATATCATTGGTACCTAATGCTAAGGGCTCATTCTAATAAGTGAGGAGATATCAGTGCTGTTAATTGTTAGTGGAAATTAACAATTTGTTCAAATTCTGCTATGCTATAGTTCTGAAATAGCCGCTATCCGACAATACTGTGCTAAATAGTATATCCCAGAACAATAACTATTTGTTGAAATTCCGCTATTATATACTATTTGACAACACTCGGAGATGCTATGGGAAATGAAAAAAAATATAGTTATTGTGATACTAGGAGACCATTCTTTGATTGTCCATTGAGATGATATAGTTTAATTGTTGCGTGGAAAATGAAATAGGTGGACTTTAGAATTAGCTTTGTAGTTTGTAAGTAGATCCTTTGAATTCCTCTTTTAAAAATGTAGCAAACTGGACCTTTGTTTATCCTTGTTGATTTTCTCTTTTGGTTGTGTATCTATGGGCGCTTGGAAGAGTTGTTTATTTCGGGTTATCTTGTGACACAAGTACTTGTGTACATGTCTAGAGGAACAAAAAACTAGTTATGATGAGATATGCATATAAGTCCTTTCGAGTTTACTTTAATGTGCTCTCCAAATAGTTCATCAAAACCACTTATGCAGAGTATACCCATCAACTTGTCTGGAATGTGATCATCACCCATCTAAAGCTCAAATTTTACAGCTGAACAAATGGTTATAACTCAATTAACGTTTCAACATGAATATATTTGAACTTAAGTAGCTCATTTCTTCTTTTCTTTTAATAGTAAAGTGTAATTAGAAAAGATTGTGCAAAATAGACTTGGTGGTTTGAGCATGTAGAGAGAAGACCTATAGATTCTATGGTAAGGAGAGTAGATCCGATGGAGATAAGTCAAACAATTAGAGGTAGAGGAAGACCTAAAATATCTATAAGACAAGTTATTAAGGAAGATCTCGAGATAAACACTTGGACATAAGCATGGTCCTAGATAATGGCGAGAGTTGATCCATGTAGCCGACCCCACTCAGTGGGATAAAGCTTGGTTGTTGTTGTCGTCGTCATTGTATTAAAGTGTTAATAGTTAGTTTGTTAGGGGGAGGGGGAATTGGTAGCCGCAAGGATTAAACTCTGGACCTCCCTTAATATGCTTTCAGCATCTCAACTCATACCACTCGGGGACATAACTTCTCATATGATAAGTGTTTATTGAATAACTGTTATATTATGTTGTTTACCTAAATGCTCCCGTTGTCTATATTTAAAGTTTTCAAATAATTTTTCTAGCAATACGACGGATTATTCTGATAACGTGCCCTGACAGGGATCCTGGCTTCCTGTATTGGCTGGCTGATGCAAGCAGATGCAAGAGGTAGCTGGGGAGCGTGGAGGTTATCTTCATGGGCGAGGCGGGTACCACACTTAGTCTCTAGATTTTGTGAATTTCTGTCTTGTCTGTGCTTCCTCACCTCTTGCTTTTATCCGCTGTTCTTATATTATATGTTAGACTTGTCGTTCTCTTTTAAAGTTTAAATTTGCAGCTTTGGACAGTGATGATCTACTATATCTCAAGGAGCAAATGGAAGCTGAGGAGGATGCTGAGCGCCTCTTGCGTCGTACTGAAAAACGAGCCTTTGCTGCTTTTAAGATATCCTTTTGTGCTCATTCCTACAGATAACATGCCTATGTTTCCTTCTCCTTCATCTTGGAGTCAGACAAATGTTTAATGTTTATGTTCCCAGAATCTATTTGTTTTTTCTACTGCAAGTATAGTTCTTAATTTTTCTTTTATTTAAGTACTGTTTAAGTTGTTTTTGTCCATAATAATTTCTTCTGGAAGTTGTATTATTTTGTTTCCTTTACCGATGGATACAGAGCAGCAAGTTTAGCAGATTCTTCACCTGCATCATTACCGTTACCGTTACGTGTAGAGCCAAAGCCAAAGAGCGGGATTAGGTTGATCTTCTTCCACTCCAACTTACCTTTATGCTTGATTTTTGGCTTCAATGTTATTCATGGTATCTATATTTTTTTTAATACAGGCAACAAGATCTGCTGAAAAAAGTTGTTGAGATTAAACCTAAGCGACCAAGGTCTGAAAGCAATAAGCCAACACAAGCTCCTAGTGATGCTTCTATTACAAATCATGGGCGTGATCATGATAATTTGAAAGAAAATGATCAGTCTTTATCAGGACCAAAGAAATTTGAGGAACACGCCTCGGTGGGGATGCATGAAGGTGAGACAAAGCCTAAGGTTGATAACTCTGGTGGGGGATTACTAGGCCTGGCGTATGCTAGCTCAGACGATGATGATGATGAATGATTGATAATACATTTGACAACACAGATCACTTTTTTCAGTCACTGTCTTTGTAGTTTAGTACAAAATGCTTGGCTTATTAAGAAAAAGTAATGAATTGTAGTCAAGATGTCTAAATGAAGTTTTCCAATGCATGAAACATTTAGGAAGGTTGTAAAAGAAGAAAATGAAATTAGAACATTACTATACAAGTAGATGTAAGATACAATTCTGTACGTTTCATTAAATCTTAATGTGCCAATTTTGTTTTTCTTGCCATGTTAGAAATTAAACTAGTTAGTTCTTTGGTTTAACAAATTTTAAACTATGCTTAACTGAAATTTTTTTGTAAGATGTTTGATGGATTAAATCTGAATTTCTCTTGATATGTTTTGAAGATGTGAAAAACACAAGAAGGGGGGTTGAATTGTAAAACTTAAAACAAATGCTTAGCCAACACAGTATTTTTATCCTGGTTCGTTTGATCTCTAATTACTCCAGTCCACCCGTCAAGGTGATTTCGCCTCTCTCCAACGAGGTCTTAATCCACTATATTCAAAGGATTACAACAGTTACTTTAACAACTGTTAAAGCCTTCTTGAGTATAACCACAAACCGGTTTATCTCAAGGAAATCTTTTACAAATAATTTGAACAATGATCTGTTAACATTTTCTAATAAAACAATATATCACAACTGTGATAATTACACAATTTAAGCTTGGAATAAACTGAATTTGCTAAAACGTTTGAGTAAGCGTGGTTTTGAAGGCTTGACAAATTATGTGAGTGCATGCGTGCGTCTTTTCTCACACAAACTTGTTTAAATAGACAAGGCAAAGATATGTTGTCCATAAAGTCATTTTAATGATAATAACGCACTTTCCTTTTTGAGAAGATCTTGTCTGAAGAGAGCCGTTAGCATTAACTTCTGTCTTGAATATTTAATAACGCTTCAGAGTCTTCTTTACTTTAACTTATGATGACGCTTCTGAGTGCTGATGACTTGAAAAAGATCTTTGATCAGAGTCAGAGTGTGTTATTTATGCGTAAATTCTGGTCATCAAGCTTCAACGTATAATCTGGTAGCTTTAGCGTGTAACACATATTATTGATCTTCTGATGCTGACATATTACTGATCTTCTGATGCTGATTCCATCAGAACTTCTGTATATATAAAACATGGTTTAAGTAAGCGTGGTTTTGAAGGCTTGGCAAATTATGTGAGTGCGTGCGTGCGTCTTTTCTCACACAGACTTGTTTAAATAGGCAAGGCAGAGATACGTTGTCCATAAAGCCATTTTAATGATAATAACACACTTTCCTTTTTGAGAAGATCTTGTCTGAAGAGAGTCGTTAGCATTAACTTCTGTCTTGAATACTTAATAACGCTTCAGAGTCTTCTTTACTTTAACTTATGATGACGCTTCTGAGTGCTGATGACTTGGAAAAGATCTTTGATCAAAGTCAGAGTGTGTTATTTATGCGCAAATTCTGGTCATCAAGCTTCAGCGTATAATCTGGTAGCTTCAGCGTGTAGCACATATTACTGATCTTCTGATGTTGACATATTACTGATCTTCTGATGTTGATTCCATCAGAACTTCTGTATATATAAAACATAATTTTAAGAAGCATATTTGTTCTATATATATATATATATATATATATATATATATATATATATATATATATATATATATATATATATATATATATATATATATATATATATATATATATATATATATATATATATATATATATATATATATATATATATCTTTGAATTTATTTATTCTTTGTATTTTGTTATTATCAAAACTCTAATTAAGGGTTGTAGAATCAAACTATGTTCTAACAATCTCCCCCTTTTTGATGATGACAAAAACCAGATTTTTCAATTAAAAATAAAGAATAAAAAGTATAGAATTAAGAAGAGAAACTCCCCTTGAGTTGATTACTTCCCTTTAATTCCATGAGTCTTTGAGCATCAGAACCTTACTGTATCTTTCCTCAGAGTTTTGTACCTGTTCAAGCTTTTCAGAAGAGAAAATTTTAAATAGATCAGAATGTTTGAGACTTATGTCTCAGTAATCCGTTATTGAAAAATATCATTCTTTCTCCCTCTTTTTCTCAGTTATCAAAAAGAACATAAGATCAGAGCTAAAAATGTGTTTATATTAAAAACCAGAAGCAATGATAAGTTCATAACAATGTAAGAAAATTACAGATAAATAAGTTTTAAAGACAAGGAAATTCTAAGAGGGAGGAGGTAGACGCGTGAACAAGGTTTCCAACAAGCTCTTGATCTGGATGTTGGTTTCCTGTTGCTGGGTTAACATGCTCTTGATTTCCTCAATTTTGTCGTCCTGTTTATCCATTCTTTCATTCATCAACATATCAGATCTTTTCAGGTCTTCTAGAGTCTGCCTATCATAGGAGGAAGCTTGGGGATCTTCAGAAACTGGATGCTTCTCAGAGCATTCTGCAATATCCTTCTTGTGACCCAGTGCTTCAGCAGGAATCATCTGCTCTGGAGTATCAGTCAGATTGAGATCTTCTGACTCTAGTTGAACTTTGGATGCTGGACGATGTTCAGACCAGGGAGCAATGTCCAGAGGGAGAACTTCTTCCTTAAGCAGCTTGCTTAGAACTGGATCTTCAATTTCTTTTAGTAGATTGCTGAAGTTCTGTTGAGCTTGTCCGTAGCTCTGTTCTTGCAACTTATGAGTTTCAGAACATACCCATCTTCTGAACTTTGACCAAAGGTAGTCTGATGCATCAGGATCAATCATCTCAAGACTAGCTTGTTTCAGAGAAGTGATCCACTTCTGTAATTCTGTTTCAAACATCAATAAGCTGGTACCAACATCTGGAGAGGGTTCAGATGGTTTTGGTTTTGGGATAGCTGTTTTGTGGGTTATGGCAGCAAGATGTTCAAAAACCGTTAAATCAATGACAGTCTTGCTGTGGTCATCTGGATTGTTCTTTGGTGAGGGAGTGGGAGAGTCAGGAATTATGATTGGACTTGCTGGGGAGTTTGGTGGAGTTGATTCTAGTGAGGAGGGAATTTGGCAAATATCCAGGATGGTTAAGGGCATACGGATGGCCAGAGGTTCAGTGATTCCAGAAATGGGAATGGTATCAGAATCAACAGTTTGGTTTGATTGATCGTTATGAGGTTCTGGTTCATAGGATTCAGAAGGTTGAGCCTCAGAAGTTTGAACTTCTGGTTTAAATAGTTCAGGTTATGGAGAAGGTGGATGAATTTCTGGTTGAGGAGATGGAGGTAGTGGGATTTATGGTTGTGGAGAGAGGGGAATTTCTGGTTGAGGTGAGAGGGGAATTTCTGGTTGTGCTTCTGTGGTGGTTTCAGGGTTTGGATTTTATGGCATGGGAGCAGAAGTATGTTGGTCAAAGGTATCTATATCAGATAGAACTTTTGCAAGTTCTTGTTAGGTTGCATCAATATTTGGATTTGGAGGTTGAGAGCGAGATCTTCTAAGAGTTAAGGATTTAGAGGGGTCAAATTCAATGTCAAAGTCATCAAATGTTTGTGGTGTGGGGTTTTCTGATTGAGTGGGAATTGGGATAGATGTTGATACAGAAATTGAATTTAAAACAGTTACAGAAGAAGGATTACCTTTCTTTTTAGGAGTCTGCTGGGATGATCCTTCTGCTACAGCTTTCCTTTTCTTGGTTTTCTTCAGCACAACTTCTGGAGCCTTCTGCTGCAGATCCTGAATGTTCAAATTTGGTGATGTACCATCCGCCTTGCAAGCATCCAGATATCTGACTATTATATCAGGTTTAAAATCAATCTCTGAGAACAGAGGAAAGTTATCCAGAGGGACTATTCTCCTGGAGATTGCTGCAAAAGGAGTGACGCTGAGTTCCTTCTTGATGTTCTCAATCAACTTCATTTTCTTCAAATTCTTTGCATTCAGCTGTTTGCTAACAGTAGCTTCCAAAGAGCTGATTTCCTGAGCCTCTGTAAGATGATCAATCAGCTTATTCTCTGTTAGAATATCTGATATAAGTCTTCCTAAGGGTATCCAGTCCCTTTTTGTGCGCTCCTCTTCTCTGGTTTCCTTAACACTGGTCCTTAGATGGTTAAATAGAAGATGAGCCAGATTTACCTTAATCTTCTGAGAGATGAAGTAGATTAGAAATTGCTGATCAATATTGATATAGTCAGGAGAGCTGGTAGGCTTCCTGTGGTTTATGCATCCCAGAATGATCTTGGCCCATATTCTGTGATGGTCTTTTAGATCCCTTATCTTGCTGGAGGGAAGCCCCAGAGTGAAGATTTCTCTAGCAATTAGGGTAACATCAGCGCATCTTTCAGCCATGTCAATGCAACGTACACCACCACCATTGTAGCCTATTAATCTTGCAATGAGGTCCTCAGTAATAACTATCTTCTTCCCCATAATGTATGAAATAACTTGATGGTTGGAAGATCAAGCATGAATCCAAAATTCCTTTACCAGAATTGGGAATGTTGGACCCACCAGACGGTCAAAGTATCTTTCCCAGCCTTGAGCCTTAACCTCTTCAGAGAGATTAAACCCGTTCTCTTGAAGGCTGTTGAAATCCACAATCAATTCTGAAAGAACTTCTAGATTTTTGATGGGTGTGAGAAGAATTCTGTAGGGTTCTTCGTATTGTTCGGAGGAATCTGTTTTCTGAGAACTAGAGGTGGGGATGCTTGAGGAAGCCATGTTCACACGAAGGTTTTGAGAAGAAAATGAAAGGGTTTTGAGAAAGGATGCAAACTGAAAACAATAAGTTTGTAGAGAAAATGAAAGTGAAAGTAAAAGATTGTAAATGGTGAGAAATGTGTTTAAATAGATTTCTAAAAAATTTGAAAACATAAACAGCAAGAGAGAGAAATTAAATATAATGATTATGAGCATTTAATGATAGCTGATTTTGGGGAATTCAGAAAGATATTGGAACGGTTACCCATGACATGTGTCCCAATGCATCCAATCAGCGCTTTTGACCTTTCAGAAACG